GACCGCTCTGCCAGAACCACTATGCGACACCACAAAACACACCTACTAGGATAGCAATAATAAAAAAAAAGTGTTGGCAAAGATGTGGAGAAATTGGAACACTTGTTCATTGCTGGTGGGCATGTAAAATGGCTCACCTTCTGTTTTCTGTGGAATATAGTTGGATGGCCCCTCAAAAAGTTAAACATAGAATTACCATATGACCCAGGAATTCTACCCTTATCTATAGGCCCTCCAAAACGAAAACAGATACTCAAAAAGTACACAACATACATGTTCACAGAAGCACTATTCACAATAGCCAAAAGGTGAAAGCATTCCAAACATCCATCATAGGATGAATGGACAATTGAACTGTGGCATATCCATACAATGGAATATTAATCAGCCATGAAAAAGAAGTGCTGCTACTTGGTAGAATGTGAATGGCCCTTCAAAACATTATGCTAGGGTGAAAGAAACCAGACACAAAAAGTTCACATATTGTATGATTCCAATGATATGACATATCCAGAACAGATAAATTTATAGAGACAACGCGCATGAATGATTGCCAAAAGTTAGAAAGAAGGAGGTGAGGAGGAACAGCCTAACGGGTAAGGGGTGTCACTTGGGAGTGATGAGAATGTTTTTGAACCAGACAGAGGTAGTGATTGCACTATACTGCATGCGTACTAAAACTCACTAAATTCCTCGCTTTAAAACGATTAATTTTGGGGCATGTGGGTAGCTCTGTCAGTTAAGTGTCTGACTCTTGATTTCAGCTCAGGTCATGATCCCAGGGTGGTGGGATTGAGCCCCGTGTCGGGGAGCCTGCTTGGGATTCTTTCTCTCTCCCTGTACCTCTGCTCTCCCTCACTTGTGCTCTCCCCTTCTCTCTCAAAAATAAATAACAATAAATAAATAAATTTTATTTATTTATTTTTTAAAATATTTTTATTTATTTCTAGGAGAGAGAGAGAGACAGCGTGAGCAGGGGAGGGTCAGAGAGAGAGGGAGTCACAGACTCTGAAACAGCCTCCAGGCTCTGAGCTGGCACTGAGCACAGAGCCCGACGTGGGGCTCGAACCCACAAACCGCGAGATCATGACCTAAGCGAAAGTAGGACACTTAACCGACTAAGCCACCCAGGCGCCCCAAATAAATAAATTTTAAAAATGATTAATTTCATGTTGCATGAATTTTACCTCAACAAATAACTTTTTAAAAATAAAAAATAAAAATAATGTATTACCCTGAAAAAAACTTCAATAAATACAAAATGTCATTGCTGAAAGGAATCTGCTAAATCAGTAATTCATATACTTCATTTCCAAACCAAACCAAACCAAACATGTACTTTATTTCTGTAGGTAAGAAAACCCTGCTCTAAGTCAGGAATAGAGCAAATATCTTCTAGTTGTTTTGTTTTCCTTGTCCATCAGCATTTTATTGAGAGAAAACATTATGAAACTTTTCTTTCGAACAACCCGCCAAGGCTTTTCTCTCTTGGAATAATTGCACAGGAGAATTTTAAACATCCTCCTCAGATTCAAGAGTATAGTGCCACCACTCAATTCACCGGGACCTCTGGGACCCACGAGGACCGTGATAACTTGAATAAACCATTTTTCACTTTTCACAGTCACCGTAGGTTTGTAGGTAATCTTCCCTGATGGAGGAGAAAAAGTATCTCCGTGGTTTTAGAATGTCTTTTGGTGTAGATAATGCCCATGGTATTTGCTTCAAACAATGCAGTACATCCAGTCTACAACATGCATCCCATCCCTGTCCCCCCTCCCCCATGTCCTTCTCTGTTATTCCGGTTCCCTTCCTTCATCCTCTGTACTGTCCCAACCACTCTGAATTCTGGCGTGTTTCCTTTCTAAATAATGTTCTCCCCCCAGGTTTTCATCTCTTCCATTTCTCTAGCTCCCCTTTGATTACTCAAACATGTACATGGATATGGATTTTATTAAATACTTTCAAATATAAAATATGATACAATTATGGGGTGCCTGGGTGGCTCAGTCAGTTAAGCGTCTGACTTCAGCTTGGGTCATGATCAGGTTGGTGAGTTCAAGCCCCACATTGGGCTCTGTGCTGACAGCTCAGAGCCTGGAGCCTGCTTTGGATTCTGTGTCTCCTTCTCTCTCTGTCCCTCCCCCACTCATGTTCTGTCTCTCTCTCTCTCTCTCTCCTTCAAAAATAAGGAAATAAACTGGGTGGCTCAGTCGGTTGAGCGTCCGGCTTCGGCTCAGGTCATGGTCTCATGGTTCGTGGGTTCAAGGCCCGTGTCGGGCTCTGTGCTAACATCCAGCTCAGAGCATGGAGCCTGTTTCGGATTCTGTATCTCCCTCTGTCTCTGACCCTCCTCTGCTCACGCCTTCTCTCTCTTTCAGAAATAAATTTTGAAAGAAGGAAAGAAACATTTAACAATTTTTAATTATTATAAAATTAAAAGCACAATTATAAATCATTATTAACATAAAATATATTGCTTTACTTTAAAAAACCTTTCTTTTCAAGAAGTCTGTTCTTGAAATCTGATACCTCATATGACTTAATCAACTGGCCATTCTTTCTGAAAACTATCTTCATAATGAGTAATTCTGTAAAACTATTTGAAGGCACCTTTAACACCGGATCACAGGGAATAGAATAACAGCCATTCACATTCTCATGAATGGTACTATTTCATGTAATTATGGGATTTTGGGAGATGGACAGGAAAGCTTCCATAAAGCCTGCCAAATGGATAAACTCTTAACTTTTTGGCATTTTCCTTGCTATGGATTGAATGTTTGTACTGCCCTCCCGCCAAATCCTTATGTTGAGCCTAACCCCCGGTGGGATGGTGTCTGGAGGCGGAGCCTTTGGGAGGTGATTAAATCATGAGGGCAGAACCCTCGTGATGAGCCCTTGTAAGAAGAGACTCTCCTTATAAGATGAGGTCTCTCCACCACATGAGGACATGGCCAGAAGGCAGCGGTCTGTAAACCTGGAAGACAGCCCTCACTCAGGCCCCAACCGTGCTGGCTTTTCTCTCAGCCTTTGGGCTGCCAGGGCTGTGAGAAATGCAAGGCGGTTAAGCCACTCAGCTTATGGTATTTTTGTGAGAGCAACCCAAACGAAGACCAGCCTTTTGATAATTAAAAAAAAAAAAAAAAAAAAAAAGAGTCTTCTTGGATATTATGATGAACCTCTAAAAGCCACCAAGCAATGTTTCTGTCAGCTGTTCCCAAGAAAAACAACTGTTGCCTCCTGAAGAGCCAAGACACTCAAAAGGAAACACATCTCTTAAAGGAACAGGAAGAATTTTGTGTCTATTTGTTTTCTCAACAAATAACCGGCTGAATTCTTCTAAGAAAAACAAGGAGCTGAACGTTCGCCTCTCTTCCTTGATCTGTGCCGGACCCCTGGTATTTCGCAAGCCTCTTCTTCACAGAAGACATTCTCCTGCTACCTAATTCTATAAGACATGTCAGGTGACAAGCACCCCTTTCCAAGTGTTGAGGCCACGCGGGCTGCTTTCCCAATGAAAACCTCAGTCCCGGTCCAAGTGGTTGTGATAACGTACTCTCCAGCCTGACCTGTGTGGCTGCAGCATGGAAGGAAGCGAGGAGAGATACGGACCAGCCCTACGATACAACCTTAACTGACATCTCACCTCAATATAACGCCAATCCTTCCTCAAACCAAATACTTCTCGAAAGAATACAGGAGAAATTTCAGGAGCTGAGAATAACCCACAGACATCCTGCCTTTGCTCGTCTAAAATTGACAAGGTCTGTGGACAAGAAAGTCATTTCTGCATGACAAGACAGAAAGTCATTTTCAATTCCATCTGTGAGAAAAAGGAAAACAAACAACTTCAGTAAACATTTATTGAGCGTTGTATTAGTGTACCGGTTGCCATAATAAAATACCACAGGTTGAGTGGTGTAAAGGACAGAAACGTATTTTCTCACAGTTCTGGCGGCTGGAAGTTTAAGGTCAAGGCGTTAGCATGCTTGGTTTCTTCGGAAGCATCTTTCCTTGTGGGCGGCGGGGCTGTCTTGTCCCTGTGTCCTCCCCTGGTCTTTCCTCTGGGTCCCTGTCCTAATCTCTTCTTTACATCAGGACACCAGCCATATTGGATTAGGACCCTCTAGTGGTTCCTTCTTACCTTAATTACCTCCATCACTTCCTCAAATGCTCTACCTCCCAATAAGGTTATGTTCTGTCTCCAAAATCATTTCCATTCTTAGGTTTCTCCCACTAATTCAGTTTGCCTACATAGTATACAAATCTCCAGTTCCTTATATCTCATCCTTACCTTTCGATCCAGGTGAATGCTTTCATTATCCAGATACCAGTCACAAATCCCAATGCAAGCCTTGATTATACCAGAACATTGTATTTACGTTACCTTATTCACTCTAAAGACAGTTTTCTTCCGATTTCCCATGCCTCGATTTATATATAGATACTTTCCATTGCAAGTGCGCTTTCCACACCATTCCCTTATTTATTCTTTTGGGCTGAGACTTATCAGGTCTTTCTTACACTTCATTTCTCTTCCCTGTCACCCCTGTTGACTTTCACAGTAAGGAGGTGTCCACTTCAATCTGAGTCTTTTTTTATTCCTCTCTCAAGCATCTCTACTTTCAATCACCTAAATCAAGTTCGTCTTGATCAATCAATCGTCTGCTACCCCAAGCCCTCAGACACCTGCTCCCTGAGCTCACCGTTCTGGACTCGTCCATCGGGATCCACGGCAGACATATGTCTGAGCCGGACTTGCAGACGTTGAATGCAAGATGGCTCTACCATCTGCGGCCATGTTTCTTCTCACCCGTGAAAACTGCTTATCTTCTTCCGCCATGGGGAATGGCTGCAGAACCAGACGGCCTGTCTTACAGACCACCTGGTACTCAGGATTTCTCGTTTGGAATTATGTTTTAGGAACAAGAAAAAAAATACAGCGAAACATCTAACGCTCTGAAAACATGCACAGAGACCTCTACAAATACCGGACATGTTGTTTGCAGTGCAATTTATTATCTGGTCATAGTATTTAAGTACATTCACAAGTACTGATGTAAAAGCACTGTGACCTCTCCAGAGAGATCAAATCAAAAAGAAAACTTCAAAATGTGCAAGAGCAATAAATATCAAACTTTCTGATCTAAAATGTATAAATATAAAATATCAGTCACTTCAGGAAACAGCTTAAGAAAATTCGGCAACCATAAGTCCATGGGTAGGTGTCTGGTGCTGACGCTGCTAATCTTCAGAACACATCACCTTAGATCCAGCATGGTTATTTTTATGTCTTTTACCAACACATGTTTGCATATCTAGGTAAGAAGAAATTGGTTTTACATCAGAATGTTTAACATGGTTCTCTTTAGAGAGGGGATATGAGTTCCCTGATTTAAAACTGTTCCTAATTTTGAAAACGTTTCCAATCAGAACAAACAGAATCATGTTTATTCATTTCTGACACACGCAGATTTATAAAGGTTGCCAAGTAGTTATCATTCTAAGTAGATTCTAACTTCAAAATAGTGTTTCTCGGACATTCCAGCCAGAGAACCAGCACACCAGCAGCTGGGAGGAAGAGATGGAGTTGAATAATATTTGTTTTGGGCTAAATCCAAAGCTAATCAAGAAGTATGATCACAGGAGCGCGCCTGGGTGGCTTAGTCGGTTAAGCATTTGACTTTGTTTCAAGTCCTGATCTCGTAGTTCGTGGATTTGAACCTCACGTTGGGCTCTGTGCTGACAGCTCAGAGTCTGGAGCCTGATTCAGATTCTGTGTCTCCCTCTCTCTCTGTCCCTCTCCCCTCCCCTCACAAATAAGTAAACATTAAAAATTTTGTTAAAAATAGGATTATAGTTTCCATTGAACTGTTATGAAAAAATTAATGTGGCCACTTCGAGCAGAAATAATTCATAAGACATTGAATATCATTTTCTTTAATTGTAAGGAGTCTGAAGAAAACTCAGCTTCCATATATAAATGGAAAAGTAACTTTAGGCATATCAACTCTGCTATAGAAATACTGGCGTGCTCTCGTAAATAAACTAATAGTGCAAAGAAATCAGAAATAACTACAAAGATTGATTATATTTTGGGATAAGAAAACAACAAACTAAGCAGTACAGTGTTTTACCCATACCATACTCCTACTGTTTCTCTCCTTAAAAAAAAAAATAGAAGAGGTAAAAAAATAAGTATCTGTAGAAAATAGCCAACACAGGGGCACCTGGGTGGCTCAGTTGGTTGAGCGTCTGACTTTGGCTCAGGTCATGATCTTGTGGTTTGTGAGTTGGAGCCTGGCTTCAGGCTCTGTGCTGTCAGCGCAAAGTCTGCTTCTGATCTTCTGTCCCCCTCTCTTGCTGCCCCCCTCCTGCTCATGCTCTTTCTCTCTCTCTCTCAAAAATAAATAAAACATTAAAAAAAATAGCTGGGGTGCCAGGTGGCTCAGTGGGTGAAGCAACTGACTTCGGCTCAGGTCATGATCACGTGGTTCGTGAGTCTGAGTGCCACATTGGGCTCTTTGCTGAAAGCTCAGGGCCTGGAGCCTGCTTTAGATTCTGTGTCTCCTTCTCTCTCTGGCCCTCCCCTGCACACACTCTCTCTCTCTCAAAAATAAATAAAACATGAATAAAAATAGTCAACACAGTCTACTCACACTGAATAGCCTGGGGTCCTTGGTATGTGGATGAAAGCCCTTCTTTTTACAAGCGGAGACCTCAAGCATGCCAGCATTGGTGAGCCTGAAGGTGCCGGTGCTGTTCCGGGTGGAAACAAAAGGTACGAAACTTGAAGATCATTTGGCTTCCCAGGGGCTTTATTTAAATGGCACAGGGTACGTATTCCTCAAACGGGATGGAGACGGCAACCACCAAACAATGAATTCCACAGTGGTATTTTGAACCAATTTTGCAATAACTGGCCCAGAGAGAAACCCCCAAGGGGCCAATGCCCACTCCACGCACCTGCTGGGCTATAATGAGGAACAGGCAGCTGAACTGTCGTGTGCGACTGGAATGGAAAACTGAGGCCCCGAGGGAGGAAACTACAGGTGGCAGATATTTCTACTTTTTCTAATAATGCGAATACTGTTTATAGAAACAGCAAATATTTGTCGAGCACTGGCTGTGGTGCCAGACGCTATGCCAAGCCCTTTACATAGGCTGCCATTTAGCTTCTTCTCCACCTCAATCCCAATGGGCAGGTGTCAGGGATAAAGAGACAGAGGTTCAGAGTGGTCAGGTATCCTGCTAGACACACATCATGTGAGGGTGGAGACAGATTCCACTCTAGGTCTGTCTGACTCCTTTGCTCATAATCATTCTAGAATAATCACTGTCTCGCAAACCTAGAAAGGCTTTGGAGGTAACTAAGCTAAGGCTGGAAATTTTCTTACAACAGGAGACAACGCAGTAGAGGTAAGATCTCCAAAGGCAAACTGGAATCACATGGTCCAGGAATTCTACTACTGAAGGACCTTAAAAGGAAAAGACAGGTAGAAAGGGAGCTGGCTGGCACCAATCTCCTCTTTCCAAGGGCACGGTGCGTCTGCCTATCTAAGCACCACCAGCAGCCCCAGACGAAAGCCTTACTTGGACTTCGTGGATAAGCGCACTTACTCTTTATGCTTTGGTGAGCAAACAATGGCAATGGCCTCTGGCAACATGAGCTGATAGGAACAGTGAGTGTGAAGGTCAACGCTGGACAAGAACGCAGTTTGGGTTGGATGCGTCTAGAAAAAGAAAAGAGGACAATCACATTGGAGTAGTGGAGTCTTAGCCAAGACCACAGCCCATTCTCAGAGAAAAGCCTAGTAATTAATCCATCATTAATTGACTAAGGATTTTAGAAAACATTTCGCTGACATCACCCTTCCTTTCATGCACCTTTGGATAACCAAGACTTTCAGAAGAGGCTCTTGGAGGTGTCCACGTACTTTCTGCTTATTGAAAAGACAGAACCAGAAATTAATGTGATACACACACACACACACACACACACACACACACACACACACTGGAATACTAGTTGGTGATGAAAAAGAATGAAGTCTTGCCATTTGCAACAATGTGGAAGGAGCTAGAATGTATTACGCTAAGTGAAATAAGACAGAAAACGATAAATATCATATGACTTCAGTCATACATGGAATTTGAGAAACACAACAGATGAACCTAGGGGAAGGGAAGGAAAAATAAAGTAAGAACAGAGAGGGAGGCAAACCCTAAGAGATTCACACAGAACAAGCTGAGGGTTGATGGGGGTGGGGGTTGGGAGGTGGGGAAAATGGGTGATGGGCACCTGTTGGGATGAGCACTGGGTGTTGTATGTAAGTGATGAATCACAGGAATGTACTCTTGAAGCCGAGAGCACACTGTATGTTAGCTAACACTGTATGTAAAAAACTAAAAAACAAAAGAGATTCTTATTTAATCATGACAATACAGCCAGGAGATACTTTTATTATTATCTCAATTTTACACACAGGGATCCCAAGGCTCCTTTAAGTAACTTGCCCGTGGTCACACAGCTAGTCAGGAGCAGAGCTGTGACTGGAAACCCAGAGACACTTTATGCAAAACTGTGGACACAAAAGGCAAGTTTTCAATGAATTTACCACATTTTGTTGTGTATCTTTTCATGGATGCGTCATTCCTCACAAATGGGAGAACAGAACTCTCCAAGTTGTTGAAGGGGTTTGGAAGTCATCTTTCACAGCAAGTAAATACCCATATGATAAGAAGGAAGGGGAAGTTATAAACCAAAAGAAGTATCTTCCAGGTTTTGGGCTTATACAAACTTGTGTTTATGAGAGACAAATCAGAGGTTCACACTTGAGTATGAAAAATACATAAACCATCAGGTCATGGCTGATGCACAGTCAACCCCTTTTCCCCTTGAAAAAAAGGAATGTGACCATTTTAATCAGGAAACCAAGGTTGCTGGCATGCACTGTCTGGGTCCTGGTCCCATCACTCACTGCCTATGTGACACTGAGAAGATTACTTTACCCCCTTGCGCGCACTTCATCAGTTGTAAAATAAGAACAACAATCATTTTCTTCATGGGTTGCTATATTAAAATTAAATGAGTCTATCCATGTAAAATCCTTAGAACAGTGCCTACTGCATGTAAAGAATCAAAATCATTAGCTGATTTGTTGCTGTGTTATTGCTGTTGTTGTTATTTTAATATTGTCATTGTTGACTGAAAGGCATGGCCCATAAAAATCGCTTCATGCCTTTCCACAGAACTACGGTCTGCTAAAAAAATGCAAAATGTTACAACTCATCTCCACTTTATTTTATAGAACTAATAGAAAGAAGGTAGAATCCACTGACACCTATTTGCAGAAGATTCATGTCCTGCAAGGAAAACGCTACCCTTGGTCTTGGTCTTGGTCTACAAAGATGTAGGTCAGCTGAGGACTGGCCATTATCCTACTTTTTAAAACCCAAATCTTTAGAGAGGGTCTGAGTAGGAGGGTCCGACCGCCTGTTAATCTGATTCAGTGCAAACCTTCTGTTACGACGCAGAACTGTCTGTGCCTTGGCGAGAAAGTAAGAGTCACTCAGAGGGACTCTCGTGCTACGTAGACAGGAAGCAGACTGTCAAACAGACAAATCACTCTGGGTGTCCATTTATTTGCACGCTGAACGCACACCACAACTGTCCTGAGCCCTTCATTTCTACCAAGAGAATCACTTCTACTCTGATAATAGCAGCTCTTCCATGGGAGAATGGTGCTCCCACCTTACTGTTTCTCTGGAACTAAAAATGACCATGACCATGACCACGATGATGATGGTGATGGCTGCCAATGTCATCAGCTGCAACTGATAAGATGCCAGGCACTGAACAAACTACTTCCCACATATTATCTCTTTCGACTCTTACAACAAAAGGGAAAAGTGCTATAATTAACCCCATTTTCCAGATGAGGAGAATGAGCTAAGAAGAAGCATAAATAATGTGCAGAAGTTCACGGAGACAGAAGGCTACATTGGAATTCAGCCCTTTTTTCCTATCACTAACTTATACCTGAAGAAGCTAGCTCTGGAATTTGTTGCTGCCCTTATGTCAATAAAAATCACAAAGTGTCATTTGCAGCCATGACAATTCAGACATATGCTTTAAACACGTTTTCATGGAATTGCGACGATTTGATGTGGTGAAATAAACGAAACACAAAGCAAAAACCTGGAATTCTAAAATTTTGCCAAATTTATCATCTAAATGACGTAACTGCCTCATTGCATAGACTATATACACAGGTCACACAGGGAAAACCAGTTTTTAATTTGGCAAATGTTTTGTAAGATTAACGGACACTGACTCTTCAATGTACGTATAATTTCATGGACTGTTGTTCCTTCTCAGTTTATGTTAGAATTTCTTTGCGACAATTTATTTTGCTTTAAACTGCATTCCTGTTGCGGAAAATCACATTAAACTCAACAGCGTCTTTAAAATTCAGCAATTTCTAAGGGCACCCGGATGGCTCAGTCGGTTAAGTGTCTGAGTCTGACTTTGGCTCAGGTCATGATCTTGTGGCCAGAGAGTTTGCTCCCACCCCTCATCGGGCTCTGTGCTGACAAGGGGGAGCCCGCTTTGGATCCTCTGTCCCCCTGTCTCTGCCCCTCCCTCCCTCAAAAATAAATAAACATTTTTTAAAAAATTCAGCAATCTCTAAGCACACAATATTACTTACTGTCAAGTAAAACAAGTAGACATATGGAAAGTTTTGCAAACTCTTCATTATAAATAATTTCTTTCATTTGAGAGGTGGTTTATATTTTTCAAAGGGCTCCATACTTGGTGTCTTGTTTATGCCTCCTACGAATCCAATGAGGGAGACAGGGTACTCATTACCCCTGCCTGATCAGTGAGAGCCCCTGGAAACAAGGATGTGACTAAGAGCACGTAGTAACCTCCAGGAAGAGCTGGCAGTAAGGTCTCCTCTACCCTCTGAAATTATATAACACAACTGCTTGGTGATTTTGTGTGTGCATGTGGTGTCTTGCCCCTACTCAGTGCATCCTGGTAAGGCAAGTAAAATTAAAAATGGCCACTAATCGGGGCACCTGGGTGGCTCAGTCAGTTAAGGGTCCGACTTCAGCTCAGGCCATGATCTCATGGTTGGTGGGTTCAAGCCCCACATCGGGCTCTGTGCTGACAGCTCAGAGCCTGGAGTCTGCTTCAGATTCTGTGTCACTCTCTTTCCCTGTCCTTCCCCTGTGCACTCGCTCTCTCAAAAATAAATAAAAGTGTTAAAATTTCTTTTCAAAAGGTCATTAATCTCTCTCCAAGGGTTCTTAGATGTGCCATAAAAATCTTGGCCATACCTCAGTCTCACTATCAGGGGACAAGTCGTCGCTATCCCATGTCCAAATGTGTAAGACCGAATGGAAAAGGTCCCCCGGACAGATTAAACCATGGATAGGAAAAGTAGAGTGTAGTCACCCAAACCAAAGGCTATAATCATCTGAGTTCCCAGAAAAATGTGCTTCAAAACTCACTGACCTGATCTCATTCTAATACGGACCAACACATGAAGTCAATTATTATGACATCTGTCCTGTGGTTGATAAAGCTGAAGTCCAGATTTCTTAATTTGCCAACATTCCTGTAATGAATTCTTAGCAAAGCTGAGATTTACACTCATTATCTTTTAATTCATAAGCCCTCTCTTGATGCTGTCAGGGCCTGGTGGATATTCGAATTCAGTATATTTGGTCCCACCATGGCTGTTTATGCAGGGATAAATTCCCCCTTGGCCGATAAGGAAGATGCAGAGCAATGTATGGTCCCTTTCTGATATATACAAACACCTGTTTGAAAGAAATATTTTTCATAAATTTTCTTAAAATAATCTACTTTTGACCCATGGCACAGAGAGAGAGAACAATAACAGTGCAGTCACTTTAATTAAAATTCTGACTAGGTCTCCATGAGACTATATAAATCATCAAAGCACGTCACCCGATTTCTAAATGTTTGTCTTTTAACATTGGCCAGTAAGGAAAGAGCATAATAGAGCCCTGTCCAAATCCAGATTTAGACACATTTAACAGTCTTCAGTGTTCTTGACCATGCTTAAATATGATGACATTTATTACCCTTGAAAAAATTAAAAATATGAAACTATTTGAAGGAAGGAAGCGACTTTTCCTCAAAGAGGAAAACAGCACCCCAGGGAAAACCAGGCAGAAACCGAAGCTGAAAAAAGGTCACACGTACGTGGATCCATCCCAGCGTGAGGAGGCCATGTTGGTCCTGAACACTGAAAAGTTCTTCTACGTTCTCCACGTCACAGTAGTCCGGGCCCGCAGACTGCTTTGGCACAATTACATGGGTGATAGTAAACTCATTATGCGTCTAGAAAACAATTGGTAAAAAGAGTAACAAGCATCTGAAAGGGAAAAACCCCCACCACCTGAACTGGAAGTACAATGTTTTGCTGAAAGACTAGAGAGCATCCGAAGTACCTGGGTGGCTCAGTCGGTTAAGTGCCCGACTTTGGCTCAGGTCATGATCTCACAGTTTGTGGGGTCAAGCCCCACATTGGGCTCTGTACAGACAGCTCAGAGCCCGGAGCCTGCTTGGGATTTTGTGTCTCCCTCTCTCTCTCTCTGCCCCTCTCCCATTCACTCTCTGTCGTTCTCAAAAATAAATAAAAATGAAATAAATTTTTAAAAAAGACTAGAGCATATCCATCCCACCACCTGCAACTTCCCAGCCTCACTCTTAAAAATGGACTATTTGCCAAAATTTTGAGAGTCAGTTCTCTGGAGCTCAAAACCTATTTTCACAATGGAAAATGTATAATAAATAGGAGGTTATTAGCATCCCAGGCTGGGCCACGATAGCTTAGTTAATAAATCATGTATTGCTATATTACATTTGCAATGGAAGACATTCAGAACAAAATAGCAGCAGGTTTATGTGGGAGACTAGGTGATTTTGTGGTTTTCCTGAAGGTTTCTTCTAAGGCGCGTGGGGGTGGATGGTCTTGTTTTTATTTTATTAATTATGTTTCCTGTCACTGCCAGACCTAATTTTCTTCTGCCACTGGGGGCACTTGCGGAGATTTTCCATAATTGAGGTAATGTTTTGGATTTACATTTAGAAAAAGAAAAAGGAAAAACAAACCACTCCCTTCAGTTCAAAGGTAAGAGTTGAAGGAAGAGAGCTGGGCAGAGTGGATTGGACCCTGGGGGTGGGCTGTCTGTGGGGGGAGATGTCTGTGCCGAGAGTGACTGCTCATCCCTCCCTAAGCAACCCTTTCTCTCTGGTCTATTCCTTCAGCCTGGATCATAACTCCTTCCTCCAATCCCCCTCTCCTCTTTCATGGCTAACTTTATGTAGTCTTCAAGCCTGGTGTAAATGTCACCTCTCCGGGAAGCCCTTCTTGACCTTCTCAGACAAGGTTAGTTTCCCAGTTACACCTGGCCAGTATGCCCTGCACTTGCACCGAGAGCACCAGCCCCACGGATAATTAGTCATCTGTCTGGTTCTTCACAGGCACCATGTGAGCGTCATACGGCAAAGACTACGGCTGTTGTAGGCTACGAATGCCAACACCAAACACAGTGTCTGGCGAACCCAGGGACTCAGCACATGTTGTCTGATGGAGGAATGAATGAAGAATCAATCAATCCATCAAATTAGGTACAGCATATGGTCTTGAGGAGGAAGCACCCATAGCTCACTGCAACCCCCCTCCCAAGGGCAAACAAGGTGCTTGTGGGGAGAACATGGCAGGTCATGCTCTTGCGTTTGTTACCTGTGCTTCCTCTCTCCTCGAGGAAAAGTGAAGCTACAGGACTGGAACATGGTAGGAGAATGTATGCTGAATAAAGCATATTATCCAACGAAGCAGCAGTTCCCAAGCCAAATGTGCAGGCTAGGAAATGTGCCTGGACCCAGACATAAAAACTGGTATCCATGACACCATGAAGGGCACTTTCAACGCAACATTATTCACCCTTCTTGAAAGTAGGTGATGCCATGCTTATGAATCTTCTCTCTTCTGTCTTCCTTCTCTTTTGACATTGTCATTTCATATGTAAATAGGATCTGTGCTAAAAGATTTCAGTCTCCTGAGACTACTGTCTGAAACCCTAATTGTATTCCACATGACTCTGGATAAGGGTGGCAAGATGTCACCTATCAAAACCAGCAGAGTTAATTACATAAATATATGTGGAATGAAGCATGGCAATGGAACTCTGATTTAGAAAACAAGATGGTTTTGGAAATCCTAAGCCCTGTAATCCATCATTTTTCTGAACAAAGGTTTAATATGTGGTTTGATTCATTCTTTACAACCAGCTTGTACGGTATTCCTGAGATTTTACAACTCATTTCCTAGAAGGATCATTGCACTAATAATGATAGTAGTCTTGCGTCATTAATCTAGGTATAGATAATTTCATAATTTTTTGCAACTCTTAGGATGCTTTTATTCTGTTCTGCTTATCGCAAGAAAGCCATTGCTACTGAATGGATCTTGGGCAGAAAGATATGAAACAAAAGCCATACCAGTTTTCCACAGAGTATTCCACAGGTTTCTACTCCTCTCACTGTATTAGATTCTGCCAGCAGCAGAAATTTGTGGCAAAGGTCTCTGGATAAAACTACACAGCGCAGTCCTTCAACCGCTAAATCTAAGAAACAGAAAAGGCAGAAAAAGCTAAACAAAAAAACAGATCTTACATCCCATCCATCAGAGGTATTTTCAGCAAACAACTGTATGGCGATATAAATATAAAACATGAGGGGCATCTGGGCGGCTCAGTCAGTTAAGCATCCAACTCTTGGTTTCAGCTCAGGTCATGATCTCACGGTCCGTGAGCTGGAGCCCCGTGTCAGGCTCTGTGCTGACAGTACGGAGACTTCTTGGGATTCTCTCTCTCTCCCTCTGTCTCTCTGCCCTCCCCAAGTCACTCTGTCTCTTTCAAAATAAATAAATTTAATATATAATATATATTATATATATAATGAAATTATCAGGTGCTCCACTTCCTATATTTTATTTTTAAGCTCTTAAAAGTAAACATTAACCAGAAAGACGGTAAAATTACACTTTGTGAATAAATTATTTTGTGAACAAGGGGGAAGGTCCAAGCATTATTCCATCTTTGAGCCTTAGAGCAAATGTTTGCATATGTGTGAGGTGTTTGGAGGGCACCAAGCAAATATACGTTCACCTGCACAAGCTGCAGAGAATAGATCTCACGGACCATCAGGCAGAACACAGGTATTCTTTACTGTGTCTTCCATATGTTTCTGAGAGCTTCATGAAAGTTGGTGATCGTTAAGTAAAAGCACTGTTTTCAGAACTAATTTGTAATAGGGTAATTTATAAAATGGTTTGCCTATCATAACTCTTTTAAAATAAATGGAAATGGGGTGCCTGGGTGGCTCAGTCGACTTTGGCTCAGGTCATGATCTCATGGTTCGTGGGTTTGAGCCCCACATTGGGCTCTGTGCTGACAGCTCAGAGCCTGGAGCCTGCTTCAGATTCTGTGTCTCCTCTCTCTGCCCCTCCCCTGCTCATGCTCTGTCTCTATATCTCAAAAATAAAATAAATTAAAAAAATTTTTTAAAAATGGAAATGCATACTCTGACAGAGTCTGCGTGGGAGCGGGACGCCCCCATTTGGTTTGGGGAGCTTCTCAGCAGGGATGGAGCATAACACTCAGCACTAACTGTTGTCAGAAGCATCTAATCCATAGGGGGGTTCACCACCTGCGTGTGGGAGAGCCTCCTAGCACATGCTAAACATGTGCATTTCCATTTTTTAATTTTTATTCTTTAATGCTTTTATTTATTTTTGAGAGAGACAGACAGACAGAACAGGAGGGGAGAGGCAGAGAGAGGGAGACACAGAATCCAAAGCAGGCTCTAGGCTCTGAGCTATAGCATTGATATGAGGCTTGAACTCATGAACTGTGAGATCCTGACCTGAGCCAAAGGCAGACACTTAGCCGACTGAGCCACCCAGGCGCCCCTACCTACATTTTTAAAAAATGCAGTTTATCTCTATTATTTTGAGAGACAGATAGCAAGCAGGGGAGGGGCAGAGAGAGAGAGAATCCCAAGCAGCTCTGGGCCATCAGCACAGAGTCCCATGCAGGGCTTGATCTCACAAACACAGATCACAACTTGAGCTGAAGGCAAGAGTCGGCCGCTTAACCGGCTGCGCCACCCAGTTGCCCATAACATTTATATTTACGCGTTTAAGGAAACAATTTTCTTAGCATCTTCTTTCCTCTCGGGTATAGGTGTATACCTTTAAGACTCATGCGTTTCTTGGTTAAAATGCATGGAAAAAAAAGTGCTTGAAATTCTTCTCGTTTCAAATCTCTGTACCGTGACCAAAGACAGTCCTGTCTCTTACAGTGTGTGCTGCTCTATGGGGGGCAAATCATGCTTCCTGAATTTGAAGGTTAAAGGACAGGAAGAGCCAGACGGCACCGTTCACACTGCATTGTGCAGAAGCCCTATCCCAGTGGATGATGAAAAGAGGGGGGACCCTGGGCGACTCAGTGGGTTAGGGCCTCAGATCATGATCTCCCAGTTTGTGGGTTCGAGCCCCACGTCGGCCTCTGTGCTGACAGCTCAGAGCCTGGAACCTGCTCTGGATTCTGAGTCTCCCTCTCTCTCTCTCTGCCCCTCCCCTGCTCACTCTATCTCTCAGAAATAAACTTTTTTTTTTTTTTTTTTTAATTTTTAAAAAAGAAAGAGGAGCCCCCTCCCAGCGGTTCGGAGACGCGGCTCCGGCAGAGAAGCAGCGTCCCGCAGGCGCGTTGCCTCACTTACTCTGCACGGCGCTCAGCGTGGCCGCGGGCTTCAGGGCCCTGTTTACGGGAGGGGAGTGGCCCGCGGGACCGGCCGCGCCGCTGTGGCGAGGCTGCTCGGGCGGCGCGGGGAGCGGGGGCCCCTCCCGGCGCGGGCCCAGGCCCGACGGGGCGCTCCCGTCCGTCTGCTCGCAGCGCGCCGCCGGCTCCCGGCTCCGCGCCTGCCCCCGCGCTAGCTCCTGCTTCTTGAGCTGGTCTTCGAAAAACAGGAACTGCTCCGACTCCAGTTGCTGCTGCCGCATCCGAGCCACCCGCTTCCTTTCGGCCTCGATCAGGCTCTGATGCTCCAGTCGTTTGAGAATTTCGGCGTGGTGCTTGTTCTGAAAAAACCAACCAACCAACCAAACAAAAAAACCAAAACAAAAAAAAAAAAACAACGTGGTGGTAGGAATCGGAGGTTGGTTTCCAAGGCAACAGCGTCAAAGTGGGATTGACACTTGCAGGCTTCTAGCAGACAGAGAGACAGAGGTGACGGTCTGTCCGCAGGGACACTCACACGACAGTGAGGAAAACGTGAACCATCATGGCAGAGGCCCCTGACCCTGATCAAGGCACTTGGTCATGTTTTACCAGAGGCAGGCCGGGACAGTCAAGTTCCCTCCATACCCCTGCACTTTTAAAAACCATTAGAAAATCAAGGTCAGGATGGTCCCGTTGGCCTGATGGACCAATCCAAAATATCTCAGAGATGCGTTTATCACCCTAGACTGCACCATCCAAAACGGCAGCCACGTGGGCTACTTACATTTAAATTAAGTTAAATGAAATGAAATTAGAAATTCAGTTCCTCAGTGGTGCCAGCCACCTTTTAATTGCCACGTGGCTCGTGGCTCCGGTAACAGAGCACCACACAAAACAGGTCTATCATCGAAAGAAGTTCTCCTGGACAATCCTGCCCTAGAAACTTCTGCCTTTGCCTCTGGAACTCATTCTGCTGGAACCTTATGGAGGAGGAACCACTAGGAAATGGTTCTCAAAACACGGTCCAGTCATCTCTATAGGAATATTCAGCAATTTTGTTAAAATGAAGATTCCCTAGTTGCCAGGTTCCCTAGTTGCAAAAAAAAAAAAAAAAAAAAAAAGAAAAAAGAAAAAAAAAATCCAGGCATTATTAGGTCAGAAAATACTAATCTTTAAGATGTTCCTCAAATGATTTTATTTTGATAAAAACTAACTTTGGCGAGGCACCTGGGTGGCTCGGTCAGTGAAGTGTCTGACTTCGGCTCAGGTCATGATCTCGCAGTTCGTGGGTTTGAGCCCCACATTGGGCTCTGTGCTGACAGCTCAGAGCCTGGAGCCTGCTTCGGAGTCTGTGTCTCCCTCTCTCTCTGCCCCTCCCCTGCTCACACTCTGTCTCCCTTTCTCAAAAATAAATAACTGTTTAAAAAAATTAACTCTGGGGAGCGCCTGGCCGGCTCAGTCAGTAGAGCATATGACTCTCGATCTCAGTGGTGAGTTCCAGCCCCCCATTGGGGGTAGAGATTACTTTTTAAAAATTATTAAAAAAAAAAAAAACCAGAAACAAAAAAAAAACTAACTTTGGTAGGGGTGGGGTGGAGCACACAACTTATAGTAGCACTTGGGGTACACATGAATCGCCCAGGGTTTTGTTATAAGGGCTGAATCTGATTTGGCAAGTGTGGGGAGGAGGTCGAGATTCCCATTTCTAACAAGCTTATGGATGATTCCAGAGCTGCCTGTAGCAGAGTTTACTGATGGGTGTGTTCATCTCTCCTAGGCATAAAGGCTGCCCCTAGGTCTCCGCAGAGATTTCCACATGACATCTACTTTGGGATACTGCTGTGGTCTGTGATATAACTGCTATCATCAGAGGCAGAGCAGGCCTTCCCTCCCTGGGAGATTCTGAGGGGGCGACCGCACACATTGCTGACGTGAAGGAAGACTGGATTGGGCTTTTCTCTCCTTTGCTGTTGCATTGTGTGAGCCCCCCAAATCATTCTTATCTTTCATAGTTCAGGTCAAATCAGCAATATGCACACTTGAGGAATTTCAACATTTCAGATTTCGACATTCCTCTCTGTCACTTAGTTGAAACTCTGCACTCAAATCTGACTGGTAGCTATGCCCCCAGGAAGCAGAGATGTTCCATGACCATGTTCAGAGTTCAGGACACTGAACTGAAGTGAAAGGCAGTACAAGCTACAATCCCAAAGCACAGAAACACACAATCAAACAAAAAAAGCAACACCACTTTTATAACAACTCTAAAAACATTAAGAATTCAAAGTTTGAACTTGAGGTCATAAAGGCTGGTCAGTTTCTTCTTCCAGTGCCCTTCAATCTCTTAGACATCATTATCATGATCACTCTTTATGTAATAATGATCCAGAAGGCACCATCCATTGGTGATATGATTACATTTCATTCATATGGTTAGCTATTAATCTATCTCAGTGCTATTAATCTATCTCAATATTGACTGTAATATTTAAGAATCGAATTTACATTTCCAAGGCCTACGTAATTAGATACATCAGAAACTATATACAGTTTTCCCTACCTCCTCCTGCCTCTGTTGATCACCAAAAAGCAGCTAATTGCCTCAAGGTTATATTGGCAAGAATTGGTCAAAAACTCTATTTAAATCACCATAAGAAATGCATAGTCTATGTCATCACATTATTAGATGTCGTAGGGAAATAAAAATACCATATCTTTGGTGCAAGTGCTTCACCTGTGTATCAGCATGAATTTGTTATTGGTTTTGCATCCCTGGATCTTTAATTTTTAATCTAAATGCACATGACATTTGAAAAACTCACATGAAAATGAAATTCAAAAAATATTTGCACAGAAAACAGTCATGAAATAAATGTACCAATTGAACTTACTTTGCTTTGCAAATATTCTTGGTATTCTACGTTATATTTCTTTAAAAGGTCCTTTTTCAATTCATCTGTCCTTGGGAATGCAATCTCCTTCAGTTTCTTTTAAAAATATATATATACATATTGATTAGTGGGATTCTCAGTATAGTCTTTCAGATCATCAGTTGAGAAAGAAAAACAGCTGGTATGTGTATTAGAAATCCAGACACAAGTAACCAAAGATGATGGTGGAAATATAAACCTCTCTTTGCTGTGGCTCCAAAACACAACTTTTCAGTAGGGAATGGAAAGGATTCTCCCTTTCGTAAGATCTTTACTGATTCTACTAGTTAGACCAGGGTTCTGTTTAGGTAGGTACCCCGTGATTACATAGCGGGTTTGTAACTACACATCGCACTGGGTGCAAATGGCACGGTATCATGGTTAGGATACTGCAGAGCATGGTGGGCAGGAGCCGCTGGGCTTGACAGAGTGTACCAGGCAACTGGGGCACTCAGCGTACGAATACACATCCCCAGGCCTAATCCCAGTTTTCCAGGATCAACATGTTTAGGAAAGGGTTGGGGAATCTGGACCTCAAACAACTTCTCAGTGAATTTTAGTGGCCAGAAAATCTGGGAAACCGGATTTAGTCCAAGCACCACTCTCCTTTTCAGAGACGAAGGAACAAAGGCCTACACAGATGAGAAGTCTTCTCCAGGATCATACCACTAGCTAGCGGCCCCGTTATTCCCAGAATCCAAATCTTCTAACTCTACCCAGGCTCTTCCACTAAAATGTCTTTTCTTTTCATTTTCTGTCATCCATCCATCCACCCACCCATCCACCCACCCACCCACCCACCCATCCACCCACCCACCCATCCATCCATCCATCCATCCATCCATCCATCCATTTTTTTCAACAAGCATAAACAAAGAAAATGTATATGCTTTTGGAGAATTCTTTCCTACAAGCAAAAATAAGAATAACACTAAGTGAGAGCAAGAGTCAGCTTGGTGGCTGGGCCCTTGGATCCCCTCCTGCTGTCTGAGGTTGAATGAACAAGAATCGAGAAGTGTCGCATAAGGCATAGCAATGAGTGCCCCTTCAGAGAAGTGTGTATAGAGATTTTTAAAAATGTTGATGGTCCTTTGACAAAATCTGGATTCTTACCAGCCATCTCATGCCAGATATAACTGGTAAGAGAACCTTTCTTCTATTATATGGTCACATATTTTTGAGAGTTATTTAAAATTCCATGCTGTGATTGCTGTTTTATCTTCCTCCATATAAGTTCAACCCAACTACTTAAGACAGAAGAGAAACATTTAAAAAATGGCATTTAAAGACTATATTCTCAAGCTACAATTATTTGAAGCTATATCGGTTGCAAATGTTGGTGGTAAATAAATAACTTTTCAACAACTATCTTCCTTTTCCTTGAGAATATTTCAGGCTATCCCTAAACATTTTATTATGCCTTAGGCTAGTCCTATAGCTAGAACTATAGGATAGCTAGAACTTTGTGGCCGCCTTAACAATCAACACTGATCTTCAAATAGTTTTGGGGTTCAGGACTATGTGGGATAATCAAAGCCAGAATTGGACAAGCTTTCTCGCAGTCTCCGGGAAGAACTGTGAATAATTCCTCCTTCATGCCACAAAGCAAATTGAACACATTCCTGACCTTTTTCTGTTCTCTCCCCACCTCCCAGTTTCAATTAGACATCGCACACTGCCTCAGTAACAATGATTAAAGGTCCACGAAGAAATCGAAACATCTTGGCTAATGGAATGAATTTTCTGCACTCAAACTCTCAAGAGGACGCAATGAACGAGGAAAGGAGGAAGGGGCAGATCGATAACGGAGACTTGTGGAGCATTTAATCCCTCATGGGAAGGGAGAATCGACCCCACGATACCTTCATAATATCCTGTTTTTCAGGCACTGCACACTGCTGGTAATCTCGATGGCTGGGAAGCTTTTCTACAAACAAGCTAGAAAAAGAGAAAACGCATCCTTAGCGTTATATAACAGAAAAAGCAGGTCGGCAGTGGTTTCTAGTATGAGAATGAAGCGCCTCTTCAAAATGGACACGTTTCATACATTATCATTCACCCTACACCCTTCCCATCGGCCTTTCCACCAAAGGCTGGCGTGAGTATGACTCTGGTGTTACAGTGTGGGGAGCTCAGCAGAGGAAGCACTGAGGCGAAGAGGTGAGGATGCTCCCTCACAGACCATGTCACCTTGGTCCTTCTCAAGGTCCTGGGCACTCAATCCCACTACAGCACCATTGTCACTCCCTGTGGGACTGGCAACACAGAGGGTCATGGAAAAACTTAAGCATTTGGAAAGATCAGTGTAATCTCTTCTCACCACTGAAAAGACTCAAAGGACTGTAGCGCCGTGGTGTGTACCTAGATCGAAACTTCCTCCCTAAAAACTCACAACTAAGAGAAAGAACAGCCAGAATCCCTAGTGGATTAGGAGGCACTCATTAGGAGTTCATTATTCTTCATCACCTTTTTGAGGAAGAGACAGTGGAGGTAACAAGAAGCCCAAGAGCAAACCAGACGCAGCACTGGTCACAGAAAACGAACATTTTGTGTTCTGGGTGGTTTTGTTTCTTACTGATGTATTCCCAGCTGGTAGAATAGTGTCCAGCTCATAATGTGTGCTCAATAAATATTTGTTAAATAAAGAAACAGTCCTTCCTTGAGAGATCGTGATGGGCTATAAACACTAGTTTTGATGAACTAACATGTGATACCTTATCATTATTGGTGTACTTTCTCTTCCTTACAGATCACACATGCTGGCTTTCATCACGTTGCCTACAGGCAACACCAGAATGGTAAAATAACTCTCATTTCTTTTTTTAATATTGATTTTTGAGAGAGACAGACAGAACATGAGCAGGGGAGGAGCAGAGAGAGAGGGAGACACAGAATCCGAAGCAGGGTCCAGACTTGGAGCTGTCAGCACAGAGCCTGGCGCAGGGCTCGAATCCACGAACTGCAAGATCGTGAACTGAGCTGAGGTTGGACGCTTAACCAACTGAGCCACGCAGGCGCCCATAACTCTCGTTTTGTTGAATAAGAAAATTATGGCTTAAAGAGGCTACATAAATTTAGTGGCCTAAAACTTCATAAATAGAATAAAATCACAAACATTTAGAGTTGCAGAGAGCTTAGAGATTTCTGCCCCAAAGTCTTCCATTTGTAGGTAAGGAACTGAGGCCCTCAGAGGACAAGTGAATTACAGGTTGTCACCTGGTGAATGACAGAAGGGAATTCACACACTCTGATGACTCAGTATAGTGGTCTTTTGGGTTTACCAGACTTACGCTTCCACAGAAATGTGTGCAAACACACAAGGAGAAGGCAAAGCAGAAATATTGTCAATTAGTAACTTAGAGTTCAGAAATTAAAATTTTTGGAAAACGTGTGCTGTCGATGATGCCTGATAGCTTCCAATTTCATCTTAATTGTTTGGCTTTCTAGAAACAAGTGGTTTTCCCCAGTAGGCTCAGCATTGCCAACCACCAACTCCTCAGATGCCCTCAGGTTAAGTCCCCAAGGGAACTAGTGAAATCAACCAAATGTGACTTTCAGTTAAAATAAAAGTATGAGTTTCAGCTTACGAACAATTACTAGTAACATATCTTCCCTACCAGTAAATGGGCAAATCAGTGAGGAAAATCCAGACCTCACTTCTGTTAATTCTCAAACCAGGACATGTTACTAAAAAGTATCTAACAGGAAGTATGCTATTTTCTACATGCTCTTTTATACACGGTATCATTACAGAGCTAAATAAATTGCTTTTTAAAAAAATACTAACTCTAGAGGCGCCTGGGTGGCTCAGTCGGTTAAGCGTCCGACTCTTGATCGCGGCTCTGATCATGATGTCAAGGTCCATGGGGCTGAACCCCACATCAGGCTCTGGGCTGGCAGCAAGGAGCCTGCTTGGGATTTGGGATTCTCCCTCCCTCTCTCTCTGCCCCTCCTCTGCTTGAGCACGCTTTCTCTCTCTCAAAATAAATAAATAAACTTAAAAAAAAAAAAAGAATAGCTCTGCTCTGGGCCAAGTAGGCTCCATATTTGCTGAAGTTGTATCCATTGTTTAAAAAAAAAAAACACTACAATGTGAAAATGGCTGTTACTTTCTACCTTGAATCAGATCCTTCATATAACTGCCAACTTATCCCCCACTCCCAGTCCATCAAATCAAATTTTAAAACCGGTAATGGCAGGGCCCCTGGGTGGCTCCATCAATCAAGCTTGCGACTTTGGCTCAGGTCATGATCTCATGGTTTGTGAGTTCAAGCCCCGCGTCAGGATCTGTGCTGACAGCTCAGAGACTGGAGCCTGCTTCCAATTCTGTCTCCCTCTCTCTCTGCTTCTCTCCTGCTCATGCTTTCTCTCTGTCTCTCAAAAATAAACAAACATTAAAAATTTTTAAAAAACTGTTAATGGCATGTTCTAGGCACTGTGGACAGAGCTGCAGTATGGCTCCTACTGGCCCAAAGCTTACATCCTGGTGGGGGAGAACGAGACATTTTCTTTCTGAGAAGTGAGCAAGAAGATATGCAGGTCACTGCACTGGCCTGTAGAGAAGGTATCTCCTATCCCCGAGCCTCAGAAATGCTGTGGGGACAACTTTGAATACATTCCTTGGCAACTTAAAAGCCTGGACATGCAATGCTTTTGGAGATTGCAACATTGGTCTGAATATGAAACTATTCCTGGCATCCAAGCTGTCTCACCAAAATAGCTTGTAGTAAACATTTCCCCACTTTTCTCATTTTGAAGGCCTCCAAAACTAAAGACTTACGTTATAAATTTATTATAAAGGACAAAGGCATTTTCCAAATTCCCTTCTTCCATATACACCGAGGCCATCCTCTCCATCTCTACTCCAGATCTGAAGTAGCGGCGTGGACTGATGTCCTCAGCGATGGTGATGTTACAGCCAAGCTTGCTGAGGGCACGCACTCGCTCTTCCGGGCTGAGGGAAACATCTGTATGGTCGGGCATAGCAGCTAACTTTTTCTGCAAAGCAAAATTTGAATCTCTGGTTAGAATAAGAAAGGAATGGGACTGCAATTCTGGGTGTATTTTCTGTACTAAGGACCTGCCACCAGTACCGAAGGAAAATGTTCCTTAAGAGTTAATGATACAATCAGAGCAAAACCTTTCTTTGGAAGCGCGTGGGCTACGCACGCACCAAGTGCATGTAACAAATTCTTAAAAATGCAGTATTTGTAAGACTTTGTAATATGCCACGTATTTGCAGTTCCCAGACTCCGTGTCATGAATAGTGTCTTATGCAATACATTTTTTTTCAGGTCTTTAAAAATCATTTTTGTTAAGAATGATCAAGATAATGCATGCAGCGGTACAGTAAAAGCAAACCACCGAAAAAAAAAAACAAACCTCTGGGAAGAACTGAAAGAAAGAATGGAAAGAATCTAAGGACATGCCTGTATGAAAATCACAGCCTATACATGAAAGGCTTGTACCCTGAACCCTAAAAGATACTTACCCCAACACAAAGGTATGTTTATCCTGGAGATGTGTGTGTGTGTGTGTGTGTGTGTGTGTGTGTGTGTGTGTGTAAGTATGGCCTTGGCAGATTTTAATGTTAGTTGCTTTGTAAAGAAAACATTGTACTGCAGTCCTTGAATGCCATAGTTGAAGAGAGGGTTTTTTTTTTTTTTAATGTTTTTATTTATTTTTAAGGGAGACAGATGTTGCAGGATTCTCGCTCAGAGAGTCGTGACACCGAGACTTTTCTTTCCAGAAAGCAACTTTATTTTGCCGGCACCACTCAGTTGGGTTCGTACGCAAAAGAACTGAGCGGCCCACATCATATGGCATAGGGTTTTTTATGCATTTTCTATTTCTTTGTCTCCCATATATGGTAATACACATAAACATGTAGTCTGATTAAGTTGTTTCAGTTTA